TCAATTCGAAGCACCGTAGCTCAAGTTATGAATTTTCTAAGAAATGAATGCTGAACCCGCTAGGCCCAGCGAGAATAGAGCCAAACCGGCGCGAATAGCGCCACGAAAAAGAATGTTCCAAGGTTTATGGCACAAACAACGCCAACATGACGCGATTAGCGCTGGGAATACGTTTTTCCACTGTATCTTGGCGTGGTTAGGGCCACCACGGCGCTAATAGCGCCAAAGTTCGAGAGATTACACTTATCCTTAGTATTTTACCCCTAACTGGAGTTATCCTTATCCGATTGACACAATTTTGGTCTCGTTGGAAAGATAAGAAAAAGATCTAACACTTCCATCAAGACACAAGGGTCTGAATCTATCATATAGGATATGAAAAATGGGCAAAAATACATGAGATCTTTATTTTTACATGGATTTTCAACCTAAAGGTCTTCTTTCACCTAATTGACATCATACAACCACTTCAATACATGATTCATAGTTCTTTCAAGGTACACATTTATCAAAAGAAGCATCCATGCCCTTCCATCATATATATACAATAAGCACAATATTACACAATCTCTAAATGTCTTCAATACATAACCATGAGACTTAGTTACAAAACACTATGATCAATTCCTTGACTCCCATCAACAAAAGAGACACCAAAGAAGGTGAACATAGGCTAAGTCCACCAAAATAAAGCATGACATACATATAACAAATAGCTTTCAATTACAAGTCCTATACATAGGTACTACTAATGACATGCATAACCAAAATAGTGCAATATCCTCATGTATCAATCTAGTCCAAGTATGACCACTTGCCACCAAAGGCTCCCGCAGCATCTGTACCTGAAAGGGGGTCCCCACAACACGGGGTGAGATATACGAATACATCTCAGTAAACCATGGGTCCTGGGAGAATTTCTCCAACCCATAGTTCACTCACAGTATAATAGAAATAATCAGTAAATAATGCAATAAATACATATCCATGCAGTGTGTAAAGACATCTCCAGGAGACATCCTCGAGCTCTCATGCAGTCCTAAGGATACTCAGATGCAAAATAGTCCTACTGGCCAGCTAAACTACCAAGTATGAATTACGCATCGTCATGCAACATACAAAACATAGGGAAACACCATCCTATGCCACACAAAATGCATACACATACGTATAACAAAGCATTAAACTACCTTATTGCGTATACAACACTATCAATAACCACTACCCATTCCGGGCTTGGTGGAACAATAAATGGATCAATTTCCAAGGTACGAAGGCTTACCTCAATTGCTTCCAATCTCAACCTTTGTTCTTCACCAACTCAAGCAACCAAGCTTTACAACAATACCAACAATCAATACCTACATCAAGGTACTTGACAATCTATCAAGGCAATCCAGTGAATACCAATATTGTCATCAACCAACCAAACATATTCACACCACAATGGCATGTACTTACCAATTCAAGTGAGCTAATCAAGCTCCATTGCCTCCTCCAATGGTTGGTCCTTCAATGTTGGTCCACAAGGCTCAATCCTAGCCATCACTTGGACACAATTGACATCCAACCAAACCATTGTTTACCAATGCAAGAAAATCCACAAACCAAGTATATAATCTTGCAATTTTCAAAGCATAATCAAATGACTATCTAAGTTCATTTCTACCGTTTATTTATCATTTCTAACAACTTTTACAAAGAATTTAAGCTTAAATCAAACTCAAACTCTTGCAATCCAAAAACACTATTCATCATCTTCCTCAATCTTACAATCTCCATAAAAACTAAGTTTAAGGAGTGGAAACTTACCCCAAGAGATCACACAACCATGGAATGTTGATCTCCAAAGCTCCCCTTGAAGGAAATGCCTCTAAACACCTCCAATCAAGATTCTCGTCCCCCAAACAAGCCAAGATCTCCACCCATAATGGTTCCCAACTAACAATGAGTGGTGGGTTGTGAAGAGGAAGGAATTTGATGCAAGTTTATCTTTGGAATGGATTGGTTTGGGTGAGAGATGAGTGAGCTAGGGTTTTGGGCATGAAAATGGGTTCTCTCCCTCTCACTCTCAATTTTGTCGAAGAAGAATGAAGTGGGTTGTGGTGTTTTACCACTTAGTATAACTTAGTTATTTCAACTGGGTATAAGCTCATTTATCTATTCACCTCCATTCACCACCAAACTTAACCAAAGGGTCTAGGATATTTTTTTAGTAATATTTTTAACTTTACTTTTATATTTTGGGTACTTTTGTCTACATCCATTTTTACCCTATATTTTTCACTGACAACACTTTTTACCTCAAAAGTGACCTTAATTTATATAATTAGGCCTTATACTTAATTTTACCCACTAATACAAGATTAATTACCTAATTACATGTAATCAATTAAGTTTCATGGTGAGGGATATTATACAACCAATCATTCTAATTTCCTTATGTTGTAGGTCCATCTTAGAGCAAAGATCACAAAGTAGTAATTTGATATGAGCTGCTCTAGACACATGACCAGCGACCTTTCAAATTTCTCGATATTTCATAGACGGGAACACGAGCATGTGTCCTACGGTGACAACAATAAAGGAAAAATTATTGGCTACTGGAATGTAAGTAACTCTCCAACTCTACAAGAAAAAATCTTATTAGTGTCGCAAATTTCGTCACTACGTATGAAATTTCGTCACAAATTCCTGAGTCGCAAATTTATTTGTGACAAAATTTGATTATTTGTGTCGAAAATTGTCATTTGTGACGAAATTTTTTGTCACAAATAAACTTTTTTCTTGTAGAAATGTGTTGTATGTTGACGGATTGAGACATAATCTCCTTAGCATTAGTCAACTATGTGATAAAGGTTTTGATATAAAATTTAATACTTCCATATGCATAGTTGAATCTAAGGATGACAAAAATATTAGACTCATTGGACATAAATGTTATAATATGTATATGATTGACTTTGATAACGTGTCTTCTCTTGAACCTAAATGTTTAGTCTCTAAGGACAATTATGCTTGGTTGTGGCATAGACAAGTAGGAAATATCAACATGACTCAACTAAATAAGGTAATAGCTAAAGACCTAGTGATAGGTCTACCCAAGCTTAAGTTCGAGAAAGATAGAATGGGTGATGAATGTACAAAAGGAAAGTAAGTGAAAACATGTGGTCACTACCACACGCCTCTTGCAACTTTTGCATATAGATCTCTTTGGTCCAACTAGAACTAAGAGCTATGGTGGAAACTACTATGCATTTATGATTTAGGATGATTACTCTCGATTCATATAGAATTTGTTTTTTATGCATAAAAATGGTGCTTTTAAATCTTTTGAAAAACTAGTAAAAGTACTTATGAATAAGAAAAGTGAGAATATAGCTTCCATTAGGAGTGAGCATGGTGGAAAATTTAAAAATCATGGTTTTGAAAATTTTTATGAAAAATAACAGTATTAGTTACAATTTTTCTGTTCCAAGGACCCCACAACAAAATGTGGTCGTGTAAGGAAAGAATAGGACATTAAAGAACTAGCAAGTACAACGCTCCATGATAGCAATGTCCCCAAATATTTTTGGGCGGATACAGTTAGCACTGCTTTCCATGTTTCAAATTGTATCCTCGTTAGACAAATTTTAAATGAAGTCTTAATTTTATGTTATAATTTCATTTTAAGAAAATTTAACATATTCTCATCCCAAATAAAGTCGAAAAGTTTTTTTAGTCAATTTAATTATAATAAAGGAGAAAAAAAATCACCATTTGAAGCAAATGATACATTTTGCATCATTTCAAGCTTAGTGAGAAATACTTTTACATATGTTAATGATAAATAGATGAAATATATATATAACTATATCAAATTTTTAAATAAATTAAAAAATATTTTGTACTCATTTATAACATATCAATTTTATTTGTAACATTACGGACAAATAATAATTTAACTTGTTCAATAAAGTTAAGTAAGAAGCTTAATTTTTCTCAAGAGGACCATAAGTTCTTTGGTTCCCCTCCTTCGGATCTTAGTCTCCTTTTTCTTGCAGACCTTGCACCAGTAGGCTGAAAAAAACTAGTTAATTTCCTATGAGTTTTGTTCTTGTTGTCTGGCGTTAAGCCATTTCTTGTTACAAAAAAAAAAAAAATGCTTAATCCCAAAATGGTTTTTTTTTTTTTCTGGTTGTTGTTGGTTTTTTTTTCTTGAGTCACTTTACCTCATTTACAATAAGAGAAAAATATTTGTCTTTCTAAAGAACAGTTATTTTATTTAAAATTATTATTTTTTATTTAATATGTAAATTAAAAAAATCTCTCCTTTTTTCAATCATGATTTCTGTTTTTCTCAACATAAAACAGTAGTTTTTATTAAAATGACACAATTATAAATAATTTAAAAGGACAAATACGAATCCCCTATAATAAAACAAAAATTGTATAAGAAAATATCTCAGCATTAATTTTCTCCCGTTATCTTTTTTTTTTTTAATGAGTTGTTCAATATGTTGGTCACTCAGATTAATTTAAGATAATTACTAGTTGAATTAAATTTTCTCTCTTGTCAAATTACATTTGCTTTTCGCATTACTCACACCAGATTTTGTGTAGGGCAACAATTTTGCACTACACTGGCATCACCCGTTCATCATATGAAATTAGCTAGTATAGTAATGCGCGCATCCGGCGGAGCAAGGGGATGGTGGGTCACGGTTCCCCAATTTACGAATCAAATTTTCTTTTTATCTTTCTTAAGATCTCATATAATTTTATATTTAATGTTTAATAACCAATGTACGTAAAAATATTGAATGGTCCGAAAATTTAAAATTTTTATATTTTGTGATATTAAACCATTGCAATGCTTGGGCATACCGTTAGGCTTTATTTATTTGATATCAACCGTTACTTCATTACATCCGAAGCAAGTGGATACATGGTGATATCTAAAGGGAACTGACAAGAAAGGAAAATCCAAAGCATGGGAAAACAACGATTAATTTAGTTCACTTGAGAAGGAACTTTTGTAGCCAAAAAGCCGAGTACTTGGGATATCTTTTCAAATTATCCTTGTAATCAACGTATATGAGGCCAAATCGAACTGTGTAACCAGCATCCCATTCAAAGCTGTCAGAAAATGACCATGCATAGTACCCCTTCACGTTAACACCATCTCTGAAATGAAAATGAAAAACAAACATGACCCATAATTAAACAATTCATTAGGAGCCAGTTATATATGTAGTTATGCTTAAATTCTATATTAAATAAAAAATAAACAATTTAATTCTCACTTGATCGCTTGAAGAAGGGATTTGAGATGGCTATCATGGTATCTAATCCTGATTCCGTCCTTGCGGGCTTCGTTTATTGGTATTGAATCATTCCTTGCTTGAGCAACTCCTGAAAAATTGAGAACAAAATAATACTAATTTATAAATAACACCTTCAATTGCATTTAAGGTAGTGTGACTTCAATAATGCATCAAATCACGTATTGCATCAATTTATCATGGACACTAAGAAACATTAACCATGGAGAATGAGGATTATGTTCTTAAGTAGTTTGATTAATTAATTAATACGGTGAGACGTTTCATGCAAGGATGGTTGTAATCTAACTCCTCTCTCAGTAGTAAAATAACGAAAAGAAAAATAAATAAACTTTATAGTGTTTACCATTTTCAGTAATGTATATTGCTGGATTCTTGTAGGTATTCTTTACGTATGTCATAAGCTGATGAATTCCCTTTGGGTAGATAAAAAGCCAGTTCAAAGCAGTCTGCAAAACAACAAAATTTTGCATCATTAGTTTTAGTAGAAAGGCATGTTCTCCACCCATTGTACTGTTCACTTAGCTAACATCTGGTTTACACTATATTTGATATAGAAAATACTATCCATATGGTGTGGAAAAAATATGGAACAACCTGTTGCATCATTAGTTTTCAGTAATTTTTTCATCATTGATACATCATTCTTACGGTAAATCAATTCAATGATATAGCTTTCAGTAATTAATATGGAACAAACTCCTTACTCCTTACCTGTTAAGCCAATTCAATTGATTTACTCGAAAAAATTACGGTAAATCAATTGGTGAGGAACAAACTCCTCACCAATTGCATCATTAGTTTTCAGTAATGTATATAGAAAAAATATTTCTCAAGCAGTTTGATATAAGTTTATCTCCGGCTAACCCAAAATTACGTCATTTTATTTATTTATTTCATTATATTAATTGATTCATCTTTGAATAATTATAATTCATTTTTTTTTCTCTTCCTTTATCATCTTTGATCCATATTTTTACAGTTATGATTTAGTAACCGAAAATAAAATTATCTCAAGCAACTTGAGAAACAATAAGCTCTTATATATATATATATATATATACTCTTATATATATATATATATATATATATGGAAAAGTGTGTGTTATTTTAAAAGATGTAAAGTTGTGTCATTTTAAGTGAGAAAAAGCGATAGATAAAAGAGGAGAAAGAGTGGACCAAAAAATATAAAGGTGTGAGTCTCATCTCTTTGATTGGTAGAGTGAAAGGATATAAGTTGTGTCATTTAAAAATTCAATATATATATATACTTCATTGTAAACCAATGAAAAACAAAGAAGCATAAGCACTAGCAGTCGACAGAAAAAAGTTTATACCGGCGTGCCAATAGCTACACCATTCTTCGCCGCTGTGATGAAGAGAAAATTGGTTACTTGTGTTTGTTAGTTCACTAATAAAATGTAGTAGACAGCTGTTTATCATGTCTGATTAATTTACTTGAACTTTGCCATATGTACTTACTTGTGAGCGTGGCTAGCATATCTGTGTAGAAGGTCCTGTTGGTGTTTATCGGTGGAGCATTTTGTGCATAATATGTGGTGTAATAATTCACCCCAAGAAAATCATAGGAACCTTTGAGACTATCGGATTGAGCTTTTGTGAATTTGGGGAGTCTATCACCCACCGAAGATCTCATACTCTGAGGATACTCACCATAGGTAATCGGATGAGCAAACCTGAAAAATTGAATCAGCTCAATCACCATGTTCACGAATTAAAATTTCTTAGGATAAGCTATTGTTCTCAACTGTACTAATAACGACCCAAATGTACAATTTAACGATCGCATTGCTTATTGCTTTATATATCAGTTTAAAGATTCTAATATGGAAGATCAATGCCTTGTAAGGAGATAAGTATCAGTATTTAAGAGGTTGATCTTGGTGAGAAAGAAGGAAAAATGTAGGTTTCTTGTAAAAAATTATTTTCTAATGCTTAAGGTGGTGGGTAAGGGTCTTTTTAACAGTTTATATTATTTTCTAATGCATCTCATCACCCAAGAGCCTTTTGGGCTTGAAAAATTGATTTATCTTGTGCTTGTTTAATTCCACTTTAAAGTGGGGGAGGTGAGTATTGAACTCGGGACCTTGTGGTCAAGGAAGTTCTGATACCATGTAAAGAACTACTTCAACCCAAAACCTTAAGGTGTTGGATGAAGACATTTTTTGTGGTTTATATTATTCTCTAACACACAGAATTTTATTCCATGGTCCGTTTTTTTTTTCTTCTCCCTCTCTCTCTCTCCTGTCTCCTCTTTCTCTCTCTACTTTTTTCTATCTTGAAGGACCAATGGGCCGGGAGCGCTACATTTTCACTCCTAACACACCCCCTCAAGCAAGAGCCTTTCGGACTTGAAGCGTGAATATTGCATAAATCCAATTTTTGATTTACCTTGTACTTATTTAATTTCATTTGAAAGTGGGGGAGGTGAGAATCGAACTTATGATCTTGTGATCATTGAAGCTCTGATATCATGTAAAGAATCACTTCAATCCAAAACCTTAAGGTATTGTATGAGAGTCTTTTTAATTATTTATATTATTCTCTAACATTCATGTAAAGATTTTAGGTAAATAGTGTTCAACATTTTAGATGTGCATTTAAGGTGTCTTAAATAATGGGTGCTTGAATAACGCGTGTAGGGAATCTCCTTAATAAAGAGTATAAGGAGACTAGGGATGCCATGTTTGGGAGTGTATCTTGGGTATTACGGTAGCACCAAAAACTAGGTGCAACATCGATTTTATATTATGTATTACTCGTAATACATAGTATAAAGTATAAAAGATATTTTTTTTTTCTCTCTCCAAAACAATTGCAGCTTGACGTGGTACACTCCTATTCATTGGAGGTGCCTACTCGTAGAATATCAGATTTTTCGCATATTTGGTATTGGAATCACCATTTTAGATGATGGGGTACATTTAATAGGTGATAGAGTACATTTAATGCATGAACCTTGTTGAGATTACTATATTGTCTTATTTTAATAAATAAAGCATGGTGATCTGTGTGGCCAAATATATTAAAGTTCAATTTTCTTAGATTTTTTCACTTTGTTTTGATATGAAAATACATACCATCCGAATAAAAATTCCAGAGCTCGACCAGCAGCTTTGCGATCAGCAGGTTTATTTGATTTTGGTTCAAAGTAGTGAGTCACTATGGTGATTCCAATTTGTCCTTTTTGATGAGCCTATGGTACCATAATAAAATTTGTCAATAGTATACAATACACAAAGCAAAATAGAAGTGACATTTTTTTTTTCTCCCTCATTTAATTTTTTGCCATGTATAGATACGACAACTTTTTTTTAAGCTAACCTGATATATTTTCTTGTACAATCTTGCAGCCGCCGCGTGAGCAAGTAATAAGTGGTGCCCAACGATGTAAGGCTCGGTGGATGAGTCACCGGCAGTGCAATTTCCAACGTATTTAGAACATCTACCTGGTGCAAAGGTGCCACCATGGTACCCATTGAGGCTATAGGATAAGGGTTCATTCAAAGTTACCCAATGCTTGACCCGGTCGCCAAAGGTCTTGAAGCAAAAGTCAGCATAGTATTGAAGATCCGTCCTATTTGTCCATCAAATTAAAAATTAATATACTTTTTTGTTTTATTAAGAAAGAAAGTTAATAGGAAATTAATGGGTAATTTGGCAATTGAGTTTTTTTTTTTTTTTTTCGGCAATTGAGTTTTACTTACACTACTTTAGGACTAAGAAATCCCATATATTCATCTTCAAGAGCTTGAGGGAGGTCCCAATGGAAGAGAGTCACATAAGGAGTTAAGCCTGAACCCCAAATAAGCCAAAATATGAGTTGCCAAGGCAAAGTTGGAGAATGAATCAATGAATAAATAAACTATTAAAAAATGTTTACCATTTGATAGGATCTCATCAATGAGATTGTTGTAGAATTTAACCCCCAAGGCATTGACCGCTCCTTTGCCCTCTACAGGAAATTATTTAATACTTTACAAAATCACTTTCCACATTAACATAACATATCTAGGACTTTTTACTATGGATACAGAGTATGTAGAATTTAAAATCAATGGGAAAGTCAACACTAGTTTCAAGTTAGGAGTATCTTACTTGGGAATATTCTGGACCATGAGATGGAGAATCTGAATGAGTCTAGCCCCATCTCTTTCACCACCTTTATGTCACTCTGCAAAATTGCATTGGCAGTTTAATTCTCTAATTCAATATATATAGTTTAGTTTCCTTAAATGGACAAAATTGATGAGATTTGTCTGTATGTGTACCTTATAACGATGATAAAAATCAACTGCTACATCACCGGTGCTATGGTCCCAAATCTTTTCTGGACATTAAAAATAAAATAAAATTGAACTATTGTTAGGAAGGTAGGACCTTAATGACACAAAATCAACATAGCATTTACATTCATCTACACTCTATTCCAATATAAACGGATAGAGTCAGAGTAAGAGAGAGTAACCCGGATGCTGTTTAGTGAAGGTGTCCCATATACTTGGTCCCTTGCCATCTATATGTGCTGCTCCTTCTGCCTGAGTAATTAATATAACAACAGAAATTAGAGACGAATCATGCTTAATCTGTTGTGTTATGTACTAACCAACAAAAAAAGTAAAAGGAAAATACTAATGAAATGCATTGTTATGGGGTTTTCAGAACCTGGTAAGCAGAAGAACCTATTCCAAATACAAAATCGGAAGGAAAAAGGCTCCTATTGAATGGTGTGGTAATGTGACTTGGCTGCACACTTGGCGTTGCACTTTCAGTGCCACCAACCAATAGGGTGGCCAGAGATAAGAGGCAGAGAAGGGAAGGACTTTTAGCTCTCATGACTCTGCCTTTGATTTCTAAAACCCTGGCAAATGCAATTTTTATATAGAGTGGGATATTTGCGTACATAATATGATAATAACATATCCTTTATTTTTTTCCATATATTCAACCATTGTCTCTTATTCAATGTGATATTAGTTTGATCCTGAGCCTTCTCTAGAAACAGGAGAGGGTCCACTCTTTTATCTTCATTAAAGTATCAGCTCGTGGATTGAGGAACACGCCAACAAACCACTCTTCTTCGTTGAGACTGGGATTGCCAATGGTATTTTCTAATAACACGTTTCGCCTTTGCCTACATTGAAACGGGAATTTGGCCCTGCAGTAGACAACTTGTCGCAATTGCTTTATTATTTGTATTAATTACTTTAATTCATATTCGAGCAATTGTTAGTTTGGCCGCAACAAAACTTTTTACGTCACCAGCCAATATGGTGGTAAAGATAAAAGGCTATCCAAAACTCTGGCAAATGCTACTCATTTATACAGTGGGGTATTTGCCATACCTAATATGATACTATTGTCTCCTATATATTCAATATGATATTATTCGGATTCTCATCCTTATCTTTTTAGGGGCAATTTATATTTACAAATTTTTTTATTTACAAACTACACTATCTTAACACTATGTTACACTATCTTTTTCCAGAAAAAGACACTATGTTACACTACCTTTTCTCAGGAGAAGACAATGTAATTTGTAAAACAAATTTGTAAATGGATCCTTCCTCATCCTTCTATATAAACATTAGAGGGTACAGTTCACAACATCTCATCAACCTTTTATCTTCATCAAAGTTCCAGCTAGTGAATGGAGGAACTCGTCACATACCACTCTTCTAGTATACTACCATCGCACTGAGTATTCAGTGTGATAATCATATTTGCATTATGTATTTTCGGAAATATATAGTATAAATATTAAAATTACTTTTTTTTTCTCAGAAATTATCGGCTGACAGTGAGAGAAAGAAAAAAAATAATTTTAATATTTATATTATGTATTCTTGAAAATACATAGTACAAATATGACTATCACATTAAACAGTCACTACAACGGTGATATCAAAAATACTCTCTAGACAACCTTTTGTCCAATGGACGTATCTATCGCCATTTTCGTCTAGGCAATATTTTCGGTACTATATCTTTATTGATAATAGAAAAAAAAAAGAATATTAAAATAATATAGTATAAATAAATTACATTTTACTATAATATAATGGAAAAAAAAATTTGTGTAACATACAATAAAACAATTTTCCTACAAAAACATATAAAGGAGAGAAGAGATAAGATAAGAGAGAGAAAAAACATAAATGAATCTCATCTCTTTATTTATGTGTGCAGATAAATTATTGGAATTATATTTTCTTACGCAACAGGAGATATTTATCTTATGTTGTACTCATAATTTTATGAGCGTCTTATTGCACGGGAAAAATTAAAGTCAGACCCATATCTTTTTGAGTGTGTAAGAGAGAGTTATTGTCATATGACATGAGATTAATATTTCCTTAAATTATTTTTTGTTATGTTATGCAGAAAACAATTCCCCTGATATAATATATCCAATACTTGGTACTTCCATTACACACTAAATAATTTCTTAAATCGAGATCCCCTATTGCCGCGGTCAAATGAAGAGTATCCTTTTGTACAGAAGATTTAAAAATAATTAGGTGTCGTGCTCTCGTGAACAAATCAAGTAATGACTCATATTTTCAGAAGAATAAGAGGCACAGATAATAACAAATTTTTTATTTTTTAGGGGAAGAGTTTTTATTTTAATATAAAAATAAAAAAAAATCTCGCTTTCGTCTTAATTGTTAATTTTCTTGTATTTGACATTTATAATTGATTAAAAATTAATAATTTAACAAATTATAATTATATACACGAAGATAAACGATTAGAATGAAATTTTTTATTTCTATTCTAACATTGAAATTAAATAATTGTTTTTTATTATGATGGGTTATGATTGAAATCGGATTTAAAAAGATACTGCCCAAACTTCATGGTATCCTATGAATTAATATTTAAAAACACGATGCAGCATTTCATTGGCCGAGGTTAGGGATGATGGGTTTAATTGCAAGGTCATAAGATCATTTTGTTGACCTAATTTTATTACTTTATATGCAAAAATTCAAAAAAATCAAACCGTCAATCATCAAATATTCAAGATATACTTAACATAATTTAACAAATTACATCCATAACAAGTTAATTAAAGTATCAAAATATCAAAGTACAAAACACATATTTCAATAAATTTAATGAAAAATTATATCATTAAACTCAGGTCCTTCTTGTCTATTTTCCAATTCACTATTGTTGCGATACAGTTAAAAGGTCTTAATTTGCATTATTTTTTATCTATTGTCTTCTCATATGAGAGTAAATACATTACAGTCAGAAAAAGTTTTAAATAATACAATAATACCAAACATGTTAAGAGCAGATAAATCGACAAAGACAAAGAATGGATTAATAAAGAGAAGAACCATCATAGTGGAGGAGAGGCAACAACGTGATGGAGAGGGAAGACTAAAGAGGCGGAGCCGCGGAGGAGGAGAGGAGAAACTACCAAAGTGAAGATGTCCGTTATTTAGGTTAGCAACGATTCTTTTTTCACAAAACAATATCATTTCATGTGAATTTTCGGGAGTTGGAGAGGTCAATATACATGCAAGGTCTAACTACTAACCAAACCTTAAAAAATGGATATTAGGATTGATCCGGGTCGATCCAACAGTGGAGACGGATTTTAAAACACCACTATGAATTATGATGGTCTGTCCCGTGGAATTTTGAATATGATCCAGGACTACCACGATGCTTCCACTAAAAAATTGACACCTGCACCACTTTTTTTTTCTTCCTTATCTCTTATCTAATTTGAAGTTGCTGCAATGATGTATTTCAATTATGGCTCCTGAATATGCCATGTATGGCTATTTGACCGAGAAAGCAGATCTTATAGTTTTGGAATTGTTGCTATCTGCTCCCAAACCACACTAACTTCGCTGCTGTCCTGTTATGTAGTACTTAATACATGCATGGCACCACAGCAATGATTTCTTTTTTCGTTCTTTTATGTCAAAATTATATAATTTTGACTATATGTCAAAAGCTGCATGCTTTTGCCACGTCTGCCTCCAATTATTATGAACCCTCGCTTAGCACGAGGATATGTCCTAGTTATTAATTTATTATAAACCCTTCTACCCCGCGACGAAAATGGATCAAAGTGTACTTTCTCACCTGTTCCTTGAATGCCAAGTATAAACTTAGATGTGGCACATATTAATTAATTGCATAAAAGCTTTCTGCAATTGTTCTCATATTGTTTTTCGTGCTATTTTTTTTTTAAATAGAAGATCCCATGTTCTTTGTATTTGTGGCAGATTTTTGATTTCTGCAGCAGAAAAATAAAGCCCATATTAATAGTTATTGTTTTAACATTTGACCTGACTCTATTAAAAGATTGACTTAACTCAATGGGTGGTCATCGTAATGGTTAAAAATGGTTATTTAAATTGTAAAAGTTGAAAGTTCAACTTTAATAATTATTATTAGAAATATTTTTTTAATTTAATTATCTCAATTATTCTTTTGAAGCAAGTCAGATTTTTTAAATATTTGAACCATTTTCCCTAATTATTCAACTTTGGCCCAAAAAATTATCTCTTGGATTTGAACCCCTTCTATTTTGGCAATTTATCCCATATTCGAGTTTACATTATCACTTGGGATAACCTCCAGAGTTTATTGAAAAGATTTTTTTATCTTTATTCGCACCTATTGGAAACTACAAGAAAACCGAGATATAGAGGCAGTCTCTTGGTGGCTGTTTTAGAAACCGACCCTAAATTCATTTCCTAATTTTTGCTAGCCTCCCATTGTTCACCGAATTTCTTTTTTTCTTTTGCTAAATCATTGTGACCAGCCTTCTTACTGTGCAAGATTGCAAGTCATCAGCAATAGTAGATATTTAGGTTTAAATATTTTTTGTTTTATTGGTACTCTGATTTTATTTTTGTTTAATTTGTAAAACATATTTAATTTTTTTAATCATATATGTGATTCTATGAATTTTTAATGCAAGACATTTTGAATTTATTATTGCTATTTTATGTATATTTTAGAATTATATTTAATTTTATATAAATTTGATGATATTATATTGATAGGCTTGAATATTATCAATTAATAATGTGTTTCAAATAATGGTATATATTAATGAATATAATATAAAACAGAGGCAAACATTTCATCCAAATTGTAATATATAGGTGAAATTTAAAATTTTGCGGGGTTTAGAAATAGCGGATATAAGTTTATCTACTCACTTTTTTTTTTTGGTAATCTACTCACTTTATTTCATGGCCGTTTATGAGAGCATAGCGCCATTTATTATTTAACGACGGTTATTTTGTCGGTTGATCGAAACTGACGTGGAAATATTTAGTGGCCCCAAATTCAATGTCAGTTTCCAAAAGGCCTCAGAATCTTGTTGCGTGGTTTTAAACCGCCTTTAAGCATAAACATAACCGACGTTAAATCCTTTGTTTGCCGTAGTGAACTCCAAAAGTAATATATATATATATATATGGAAAAAGATATTCTTACATATGGGAAAGGATATTCTTACACTGGTGTAAGAGTTAGAAGTTTTACACTCAATCTTGAGCATTGATCCACTTGTATCCAATGGCTCACATTACTAAAAAAATTAAACCCTTAAATATAAGTGGGATCAACGGTCAAGATTGAGAGTGTAACTTACACTGGTGTAAAATGATCCTAACCCTATATATATGGAGCAGGATATTTTTACACCAGTGTAAGAGTTAGAAGTTTTACACTCAATCTTGATCATTGATCTACTTATATCCAATGGCTCAGATTACTAAAGATTTGATCCCTTAGCAACCAACAAGATTGAGAGTGTAACTTACACTGGTGTAAAATAATTATTACCATAT